CTGACATCCTCTCCCCTCCACACGCCTGACCTCCCCTCACCTCCACACGCCAGACCTCCCCTCACCTCCACACACGCCTGACCTCCCCTCCCCTCCACACGCCTGACCTCCCCTCCCCTCCACACGCCTGACCTCCCCTCACCTCCACACGCCTGACCTCCCCTCCACACGCCTGACCTCCCCTCACCTCCACACACGCCTGACCTCCCCTCCCCTGCACACGCCTGACGTCCCCTCCCCTCCACACGCCTGACCTCCCCTCCCGTCCACACACCTGACCTCCCCTCCCCTCCACACGCCTGACCTCCCCTCCCCTCCACACGCCTGACCTCCCCTCACCTCCACACGCCTGACCTCCCCTCACCTCCACACGCCTGACCTCCCCTCCCCTCCACACGCCTGACCTCCCCTCCCCTCCACACGCCTGACCTCCCCTCACCTCCACACGCCTGACCTCCCCTCACCTGCACACACGCCTGACCTCCCCTCCCCTGCACACGCCTGACCTCCCCTCCCCTCCACACGCCTGACCTCCCCTCCCCTCCACACGCCTGACCTCCCCTCACCTCCACACGCCTGACCTCCCCTCCCCTCCACACGCCTGACCTCCCCTCCCCTCCACACGCCTGACATCCCCTCCCCTCCACACGCCTGACATCCCCTCCCCTCCACACGCCTGACCTCCCCTCACCTCCACACACGCCTGACCTCCCCTCACCTCCACACACCTGACCTCCCCTCACCTCCGCACGCCTGACCTCCCCTCACCTCCACACACGCCTGACCTCCCCTCACCTCCACACGCCTGACCTCCCCTCACGTCCACACACGCCTGACCTCCCCTCCCCTCCACACGCCTGACCTCCCCTCACGTCCACACACCTGACCTCCCCTCCACACGCCTGACCTCCCCTCACCTCCACACACGCCTGACCTCCCCTCACCTCCACACACGGCTGACCTCCCCTCACCTCCACAAGCCTGACCTCCTCTCACCTCCACACACACCTGACCTCCCCTCACCTCCACACGCCTGACGTCCCCTCCCCTCCACACACCTGACCTCCCCTCCCCTCCACACGCCTGACCTCCCCTCACCACCACGCATGCCTGACCTCCCCTCACCTCCACACACGCCTGACCTCCCCTCACCTCCACACACGCCTGACCTCCCCTCCCCTCCACACGCCTGACCTCCCCTCACCTCCACACACGCCTGACCTCCCCTCACCTCCACACACGCCTGACCTCCCCTCACCTCCACACACCTGACCTCCCCTCACCTCCACACACACCTGACCTCCCCTACCCTCCACACACCTGACCTCCCCTCACCTCCCCACACTCCTGACCTCCCCTCACCTCCACACACTCCTGACCTCCCCTCCACACGCCTGACCTCCCCTCACCTCCACACACGCCTGACCTCCCCTCACCTCCACACACGCCTGGCCTCCCCTCACCTCCACACGCCTGACCTCCCCTCACCTCCACACGCCTGACCTCCCCTCACCTCCACACACGCCTGACCTCCCCTCACCTCCACACACGCCTGACCTCCCCTCACCTCCACACGCCTGACCTCCCCTCACCTCCACACATGCCTGACCTCCCCTCCACACGCCTGACCTCCCCTCACCTCCACACACGCCTGACCTTACCTCCACACGCCTGACCTCCCCTCACCTCCACACACCTGACCTCCCCTCACCTCCACACGCCTGACCTCCCCTCCCCTCCACACGCCTGACCTCCCCTCACCTCCACACGCCTGACCTCCTCTCACCTCCACACACGCCTGACCTCCACTCACCTCCCCTCACCTCCACACACGCCTGACCTCCCCTCCACACACCTGACCTCCCCTCCCCTCCACACACGCCTGACCTCCCCTCCCCTCCACACACGCCTGACCTCCCCTCACCTCCACACACGCCTGACCTCCCCTCACCTCCACACACACCTGACCTCCCCTCCCCTCCACACGCCTGACCTCCCCTCACTTCCACACACGCCTGACCTCCCCTCCCCTCCACACGCCTGACCTCCCCTCCCCTCCACACGCCTGACCTCCCCTCCCCTCCACACGCCTGACCTCCCCTCCCCTCCACACGCCTGACCTCCCCTCCCCACGCCTGACCTCCCCTCACCTCCACACACGCCTGACCTCCCCTCACCTCCACACGCCTGACCTCCCCTCACCTCCACACGCCTGACCTCCCCTCACCTCCACACACGCCTGACCTCCCCTCACCTCCACACACGGCTGACCTCCCCTCACCTCCACAAGCCTGACCTCCTCTCACCTCCACACACACCTGACCTCCCCTCACCTCCACACGCCTGACCTCCCCTCCCCTCCACACACCTGACCTCCCCTCCCCTCCACACGCCTGACCTCCCCTCACCACCACACACGCCTGACCTCCCCTCACCTCCACACACGCCTGACTTCCCCTCCCCTCCACACGCCTGACCTCCCCTCACCACCACACATACCTGACCTCCTCTCACCTCCACACACGCCTGACCTCCCCTCACCTCCACACACGCCTGACCTCCCCTCACCTCCACACACGCCTGACCTCCCTCACCTCCACACACCTGACCTCCCCTCACCACCACACATGCCTGACCTCCCCTCACCTCCACACACGCCTGACCTCCCCTCACCTCCACACGCCTGACCTCCCCTCACCACCACACATGCCTGACCTCCCCTCACCTCCACACACGCCTGACCTCCCCTCACCTCCACACACGCCTGACCTCCCTCACCTCACATGCCTGTGGTTCGGCAGGAGGAAGCTTCATGTTGACACTGTGCCACCACTTAACACGGCCTGGGCCCTCTCTGGCCTGCGGGTGCCCAGAGTTGGGCTCCCACGTGCCTCTCCCCAGGGCCTCTACTCCTGCCGCCCACGGCCCCGGACCAGGCCGTCCACCCTCACTGGACCCCCTGCCTGTGCCTGCAGGGTGGAGCAGGCCAGGGAGTCGGGCTCAGGGAGATGCCCTGGGACCGCCCGAAAGGCACGGGTACCCCGCCCGGCCCGGGGAGGCCGGGGACCCTGGCAAGGCGGGCGGGCCGAGGCGAGGGGCAGGAACCGGGAACTGCGCCCTGTGCCTGAGGACGGCGGGGCATCTGAATCCTGGCCGTCCACGGCCCACGCGGCTCCTCACCACGGCAGGCACCGCGTCCAGGATGGCACGGGCCCCGTGCGGGTGAGAGTTCGAAACCCGCAGAGCAGCGCGGCCCCTGCTGCTGTCCCCCTCCCGCGTGGTGCTGGCGGGGGGTCGCTCACTGGGTGCCCTGCGGGAGGTCAGCCGGCGGGGCGCGGGGTCGGGCGCGCGGGATCGGGCGGGAGGCGGGGCGCGGGGCCGGACGGGAGGCGGGGCGCGGGGCCGGACGGGAGGCGGGGCGCGGGGTCGGGCGCGTGGGGTCGGGGCGGGACGCGGGGCGCGAGGCCGGGCGCGCGGGGTCGGAGCGGGAGGCGGGGTGCGGGGCCGGACAGGAGGGGGGCGCGGGATCGGGCGCGCGAGGTCGGGGCGGGAGGCGGGGTGCGGGGCCGGACGGGAGGCGGTGCGCGGGGTCGGGCGCGCGGGGTCGGGCGCGCGGGGTCGGGGCGGGAGGCCGGCGCGGGGTCAGACGCGCGGGGTCGGACGCGCGGGATTGGGCGCGCGGGGTCTGGCGGGAGGCGGGCGCGGGGTCGGGCGGGAGGCGGGGCGCGGGGCCGGGCACGCGGGGTCGGGCGGGAGGCGGGGCGCGGGGCCGGGCACGCGGGGCCGGGCGGGAGGCGGGGCGCGGGGCCGGGCGCGCGGGGTCGGGGCGAGAATCGGGGCGCGGGGTCTGGCGGGAGGCGGGGCGCGGGGCCGGGCGGGAGGCGGGGCGCGGGGCCGGGCGGGAGGCGGGGCGCGGGGCCGGGCGCGCGGGGTCGGGGCGGGAGGCGGGGCGCGGGGCCGGGCGCGCGGGGTCGGGGCGGGAGGCGGGGCGCGGGGTCGGGCGGGAGGCGGGGCGCGGGGCCGGGCGCGCGGGGTCGGGGCGGGAGGCGGGGCGCGGGGCCGGGCTGGAGGCGGGGCGCGGGGTCGGGCGGGAGGCGGGGCGCGGGGCCGGGCGCGCGGGGCCGGGCGGGAGGCGGGGCGCGGGGCCGGGCGCGCGGGGTCGGGGCGGGAGGCGGGGCGCGGGGCCGGGCGGGAGGCGGGGCGCGGGGCCGGGCGGGAGGCGGGGCGCGGGGTCGGGCGGGAGGCGGGGCGCGGGGCCGGGCGGGAGGCGGGGCGCGGGGCCGGGCGCGCGGGGTCGGGGCGGGAGGCGGGGCGCGGGGTCGGGCGGGAGGCGGGGCGCGGGGTCGGGCGGGAGGCGGGGCCGGGCGCGCGGGGCCGGGCGGGAGGCGGGCGCGGGGCCGGGCGCGCGGGGCCGGGCGGGAGGCGGGGCGCGGGGCCGGGCGGGAGGCGGGGCGCGGGGCCGGGCGCGCGGGGTCGGGGCGGGAGGCGGGGCGCGGGGTCGGGCGGGAGGCGGGGCGCGGGGCCGGGCGGGAGGCGGGGCGCGGGGCCGGGCGCGCGGGGTCGGGCGGGAGGCGGGGCGCGGGGCCGGGCGCGCGGGGTCGGGCGGGAGGCGGGCGCGGCCCCCGCGCGGCGCGGACGGCGGGCCGGGGGCGGCCGGTGGTGATTGGCTGGGCGGCGGCCGGCAGTCGGGCTGAGAACAAAAGAGAACCGGCGGCGGCGGCGGCGGCGGCGGCGGGCGGGAGTGGGCGCTGCCTCCCGCGCCCGCGGTTCGGAGCTGGGCCGGGGCACGCGCACCGCCTCCCGCCCCGCGAGCGCCGCGGCGCGCACGGTTTCCCCGCGGACGCCGGCCGCGCACCCGGCGTTAGCGCGGCGCGGGCGGGCGGGCGGGGCGCGAGGACGGCCGCGGGGCCGCGTGTGCGGTCGCTGCCCGGGGGGATTGCGCGGGGCGCGGCCCGGCGGAGACTCGCGGCCCTCGCGGCGCCCCCGCCCCCCGGCCTGCGCGGCCACCGAGGACGATGGCGCGGCCGCGGCCCCGCGAGTACCGAGCGGGCGACCTGGTCTTCGCCAAGATGAAGGGCTACCCGCACTGGCCGGCGCGGGTGAGTACGGCGGGGCCTGGCCCGCGGGGCGCCGCCCGCGCCGTCATTGTCCCCGCGGCCCCGCGCGGGCGGGCGTCGGCGCGGGCCCCGCGCGCGGGGCGGGGCGGGGCGGGCGCGGCGGAGGGACCGGGCCGCGCCGGGCGGTGTCCGCAGTGCCGGGGACCGGGGAAGCTCGTCACTGGAGGAAGTGACATCACGCGTGGCCGGCCGGGGCCGCGCGGGCAGGGTGCGGGCGGCCTGCGCAGCACGGTGTCGCCCACGCGTGCGCGCGTGGACGGAGAGGTCTGTACTGCGCGTTGCGTGCGCGCGCGGCGCTGCTCACGCCGTGATGCCGGGACACAGCCAGCCCGCGCGAGCTCGCACCACCAAGTCATCACCCCGGGGCTCTGCAGCCCGCACCTCAAGACGCAGCCCCGTGAGACCAGCAGGCCCCGAACCCCCCTGAGACCTGCAGGCCCCGAACCCCCCTGAGACCTACAGGCCCCGAACCCCCCTGAGACCTGCAGGCCCCGAACCCCCGTGAGACCTGCAGGCCCCGAACCCCAAGTGAGATCTGCAGGCCCTGAACCCCAAGTGAGATCTGCAGGCCCTGAACCCCAAGTGAGATCTGCAGGCCCTGAACCCCAAGTGAGATCTGCAGGCCCTGAACCCCAAGTGAGATCTGCAGGCCCTGAACCCCCCTGAGACCTGCAGGCCCCGAGCCCCCATGAGACCTGCAGGCCCTGAACCCCCCTGAGACCTGCAGGCCCCGAACCCCCGTGAGACCTGCAGGCCCCGAACCCCAAGTGAGATCTGCAGGCCCTGAACCCCAAGTGAGATCTGCAGGCCCCGAACCCCCCTGAGACCTGTAGGCCCAAACCCCAAGTGAAATCTGCAGGCCCTGAACCCCCATGAGACCTGCAGGCCCTGTACCCCCCTTCCAGACCTGCAGGCCATGTAACCCCTCCCCCCCCCAGTGAGACCTGCAGGCCCTGTACACACACACACACACACACCCAGACCTGCAGGCCCTGTACCCCAGACCTGCAGGCCCCGAGCCCCCGTGAGAACTGCAGGCCCTGTATCCCCCCCAGGCCTGCAGGCCCCGAACCCCAAGTGAAACCTGCAGGCCCTGTACCCCCCTGAGACCTGCAGGCCCTGTACCCCACATGAGACCTGCAGGCCCTGTACCCCACATGAGATCTGCAGGCCCTGTACCCCACATGAGACCTGCAGGCCCTGTACCCCACGGGAGATCTGCAGGCCCTGTACCCCCCTGAGATCTGCAGGCCCTGTACCCCCCTGAGACCTGCAGGCCCTGTACCCCACGGGAGACCTGCAGGCCCTGTACCCCACGGGAGACCTGCAGGCCCTGTACCCCACGGGAGACCTGCAGGCCCTGTACCCCACGGGAGACCTGCAGGCCCTGTACCCCACGGGAGACCTGCAGGCCCTGTACCCCACGGGAGACCTGCAGGCCCTGTACCCCACGGGAGACCTGCAGGCCCTGTACCCCACGGGAGACCTGCAGGCCCTGTACCCCACGGGAGACCTGCAGGCCCTGTACCCCACGGGAGACCTGCAGGCCCTGTACCCCACGGGAGACCTGCAGGCCCTGTACCCCACGGGAGACCTGCAGGCCCCGAACCCCCATGAGAACTGCAGGCCCTGAACAAGACAAAGATCTCCACATAGAAACACCAGAGTTGTGGGCTTTTGTTGCTTTAAAATAGGCTTGAAAATAGTATATGTCGCTTAAAGGGGCAAGATTGGCGTTGAGTCCTTAGGGAATCTCGGATATACTTGCCAAGTAAGGAAACTAAACGGCCCTAGAGGCCATGTGCATATATTAGAGCTGTTGGTCATACCGCCAGCACAGGGCTTCCCTGCATCTTACCTGTGAAAAATACCCCGAAAGAGCATAAGCTTACGTTTTCAGTGCCACGCTGCTGGCACAGGTTGTCCACCTGTGGTCGTTTGTGAAGCAGAAAATCGCTGCAGAAGTGATTCTTGTAAATCTTGGAAGTTAAGCCAGCAGCTCACACTTGTAATCCTGGCTCCTCAGGAGGCTGATATCTGAGGGTTGTGGTTAGAGGTGTCTGGGCAGGAAAGTCTGTAAGATCCTTATCTCCAGTTAGCCAGCACAAAGCTAGAAAGCGAGCTGTGACTCAAGTGGTAGAGCACCAGACTTGAACAAATTTTCAAACTAAACTCTAGTACACACACGCACAGTGATACTATAAAGTTGTTCCTGGAAGTTACTATTCCAAGGCAAAATGGAAAATAAGATGAGAAAGCAAAATGCATCACATTTTTACATAAAAGAAAAAATAGGCCTGTTTCTATTTAACATGAACTCAAAGAGAAGGTTCTGAGACTTTTTAAAATTGCATGTTGCAGTTCCCAAGGTAAAGGTTAGAAGAAAGTATGTGAGTCCCTGCTCTTGATTATAGATGCTTCCCATATGCTTGCAATGCAACTCGGTAATTTGAGGTACTGTCCTCATTTTAAGCTATTACAATCAAATCTTAACTGGAAAATAAATCCTACTTGCTCAGCCCTTACTTCATGTGAAGTCAGTCATGGAGTGTAGACTCTCTGCAGCCCCAAGAATTAAACCTTGGAGGAGAAGTGGGGAGATGGCTTGCATTGGTTCTGTAGGAAGGAGTTTTCCCACAGTAAAGGGCCGGTCCTCCCAGGAGTGGCAAGCACCTGGGAGGAAGATGCTGGGCCTCTGCAGCCTGGTGCGATGTGGGTCAGGAGGGGCCCAGGTCGAACTGGTTGGATCCAGCTCCTGGCTGGGCTTCCCACTTCTGACCCAAGTACATTCCTTAATCTTCCTTACACATACTCACCAGTCTGTGCCATGAGGGTAACTCCCACCACAAAGAGATTGCAGAAGGCCCCTCTTGCCCGTGGCATTACCTTCCATAGTCCAGCAGTACAGTGCCAGAAGAGACCACAGTCAAGTGACTACCACCTGTAGCTTTAATACTTAATGTCTCACTGTGCCTGGTTTGTAAATAAGACCTTATCATAGGTATGTATGTACAGGGAGCAAAAAATCATGGTATTGCAGTTTGGTAATAAACAGTTTCAGATTCCCACGGAGGGCTTGGAGGCTCCTGGGAAGGGCCGGCCGTCCCCGGACAGCCCGAGTGGCCTTGCACACCCCTCCCTGCCTTTTCCCCTTCCCACTCTCCAGTGTACTCCGCTGTATGACTACACCGCTTTTATTTGTAGATTTTCAGCGCGTGACCAGACTTGATACTGTTCTCAGTGTGCGGGTTGAGGAATCTTTTACTACCTGGTTGTAGAATAATAGGGAGAATGGACTTTTCTTTCTTTTTTCCTTTTGTCAGTGGTAGGGTTTGAACGCAGGGCCTGGGTGCTGTCCCTGAGCTTTTCTGCTCAAGGCTAGCACTCTCCACTTTGAGCCACAGCTGTACTGCTGGTTTTCTGGGGGTTAGTTGGAGATGAAGAGTCTCACAGACTTTCCTGCCCAGACTGGCTTCAAAGCACAGTCCTCAGATCTTAGCTTCCCGAGTCACTGGGATTCCAGGCGTGAGCCACCAGCAACCAGCTTCCTTTTCTTCTACAGGATCAACTATTATTCATGAAAGAATTGTTGTCTACTTAAGAACCTAATAATTACCTCCTAAGGACACTAAACATTTATACCACGCAAGGACCTCGTAAAGTCTGAGTGAGTGCTTGTGTGGCTTGGCAAATGCTTTCCAGCAGTTTCCTTATGGTTTTGGATTTTTGGTGGTTGTTGTTTTAGATTGACTCTAGGTTCTGAGAATTGTTGATTGAGGTTGATTGTTTGATTCCCAAGAGAAATAGGCCGTTTCTTATGATTCTCCATAGCTTGGGGGTTTGTGGACCACTTGGCACACAGACCAGACGGGTGTGGGCCACATCCTTTCCTGCTTGCTCACAGGGACTCTGACTCCACGGATTCTGATCATAGCGTCTAGCTTCAAAGCTGTTCGGAAGTAGAGATTTCTGGTTTTGGGTAGCACCAAGGTTGCCTCCCTGGGGATTAGGAGATTCTTGTTAGCACAATAACTGCAGTTCCTAATACAACAATATGTTTAAGATAAGACTTGTGCCAGTGGCTCACACCTGTAATCGCAGCTACTCAGGAGGCTGAGATTTAAGGATTGGGGTTCAAAGCCAGCCTGGGCAGAAAAGTCCCCATGAGACTCTTTATTTCCAGTTAACTACTCAAAAACCAGAGGTGGCGCTGTAGCTCAAGTGTTAGAGCTCTAGCCTTGAGCACAAAGAGGCTCAAGGGCAGTGCCAGGTTCTGAGTGTAAGCCCTACAGCTGACCCCCCCCCCCCCAAAAAAAAAGAGTTGTTATAACTGACTGGTTCAGTGGTAGTTAGCAGTTATAAAAAAGTTTCACCAAAGACTAAAGAATTTCGTGTAGATTAGTCAGAGAATAACAGTTTTCAGTCTTTCCTTTTTGATGCTGACATAGAACTTTGGTACCAGTGACATCTTGAATTTGGAAGGAAATGTATATTTACAAGGAGCAGTATTTTAAGTTCTTATTTTTGGAAGTCTTTCAAAATGAGATCAACTCTTAAGGTTAAAATTTTCTTCTTCGTGGAACTATTACATGCATTCAGTAATTTTGAAAAAGTATTTGAACCTGGAAATGAATAATAATGAATTGATTCTAATACGGTAGCTTTCAGACTTTTTTGGGGGGGGGTCCGGTCGTGGGGCTTGAACTCTGGGCCTGGGCGCTGTCCCTCAGCTCTTCAGCTCAAGGCTAGCGCTCTACCACTTGAGCCACAGCGCCACTTCCGGCTTTTTTTTCTTTTTTTGCTTATGTGGTGCTGAGGAATCGAACCCAGGGCCTCAGGCATGCAAGGCAAGCACTCTACCACTGAGCCACCTTCCCAGCCCCTCAGACTTTTTTTTTAATAACCCACAGTAAGAAATAAATATGAGGAATAAGAGTTATTTTATTTGAAAATAAATACATCCAGGAAATATCTCGGGACAC